CGCATGTTCTTGAATAAAAAGATTGACATTTATCTGACAAAAGTTTTTCTGGAATGGGTTAGTAGATGGATCTCACCAGAATACTACCGCGGATCACCGCTACCTGATAGTATTAAGATCAAAGTGAACTCAATTTAGATAAGATTGTTGTAAAAAATTATTTCTTTAAGATTTAGTAAGAATCTACCAGCTGATTACCTGAGAACGAAGACAGGTGACACATTCCACCAGATTAAGGCTAAGCTGCTGAAGGACGACAGCATCCAGAAGGACCGTCAGACTCTTCTGTGGTGCCAATTGCCTAGGACCTGATGATGGCGACGCCCCGTCAACGGCAAGTTTGCCCCCGTTGCTCTCAGGCGAGCCCTTATCGTCGCGGTGATAAACCTTCTGAGCAGCCTTTGGTTTCTTACAGCCTGATCCAGGACCAAAACCATCAGCGTCATCATCAACAGCAAAGACGTCCTCTCTCTCTGAATTGATAGCCTCTCCCTTCTGCCTTTCCTTTCCATCTTGCGCTTGCTCTACTTTCCCCTGATGGGCAGAACAGTTATTGAAGGCAGTTACAGACGAAGTAGCAGCCGCAGAAGCTTGATCAAAAAGACGCTTAATGGCCATTAAGCCGATGCATGGGGCCTCCCAATCAGTCTTGTTTTGCAACTGTTGTATCGCCTCTGGCAGACTTGTAATTCGCGCAGCTGCCGCCTCGACGTTGGGTAGCCTATTGACGCTAATACCGAACGATCCATCGTAGACAATGGTCCATTTGATGCAGTGAAGGGTGTTAATAGAGGGTGGAAATTAGTTACTATAGAGCACAATTTTGATAACGATTAGCCTGATCAAAACTAGATGGGTTTAGGCCTTAGCGCCATAACAAATATGAACTAATATAGTAAAGGAATTTCTGAGTTTGAAGGTAATATAACTAAGGACCTAAGCTTAAAACAATGCCCAAGGTACCAATTAACAGCCCTAAAATATGAATTATTTAACTAATACTCTTTATAACTCACTCATATTATGGATACTATCAAATGTTCAAATTTGCAGAATCCGAGACAACTTAGAATCATTGAATATTGCTGCAGGATGCTTCCAGGATGCTTGTTCAGGTGGCTAATTAAATAAAAATTCACCTTATAATTCTATCAGTACTTCAGGATCTTGCCGTAAAAGCAACTTCTGCGTCTCCTGACTGCTTTGATTAAATAATATGGGAAAGTTATACGAACTTAAGCTGCGTAGGGCATAAGAATTACATCCTCAATAGATTAAGCAGTGGAAATACTCACCCCAGCGGAGGTCTCGGAGAGTATTTATGAATGGCCAAATAGTGAGAAAACACCTTTATTTTTATGAATTCGAAGCATATTTTGTATCGGAACTCTGAAAAATTGGACTCTGCTGACGAAATATGGGCCGAACATTCCATTCTACCAACGCAGCATAAATTGCATTAATTTGGTTGTTTGACCTTTTCTTCGCAATTTGTCAATATTAGCAGGAATACCTAGAGCAATGCATCTCGTCCAGAGTCAAAAGTATGTATTATAATTTCCAGAGTTGGACCGTGGAGTTGGTACATTCCCAGACGTTGCCCCGGCATCGTCAGTGAGCTTTGTCACTCTTAGCATCGCACTAAAACCTGCCAAAAAAGACAAGAGAAGTCGATCCATTGGCCATTTGTCTGCTAAACAGTTGTATCTCTCTTTATGTCCTGATGCCTCCACTTTCCTATGTTTTCATATCGCCCCCTTCACTATCACGATTTCTTAATTGCTTATTTAAACCTAATTAAGTTGATTTGAGTTGATTAAGTAAGCCCTGTTGCGTCAAGTTACTTTCAATTCAGCTTGAGAATCCAGACTTTGGAGGCCTGCACAATGAGGCCGGAGTATACGTGCTATCAAAGGCTTCAGGCAGAGTGTAGAACATAACGCCTGGAGCAGTATGAAAATGGTGGCAGCACTTGACGGAAATCACTGAACCAGAGAGAACGAGATAGATTATACCGGGAAAGAGGCAGACTGATGGGAACTGGATGATGAGGATTGAGGAATAAAAGGACAGACTCAGATCAACTACTCCAACATAGCGGAGGAGGAAGGGGGAGTGTAAATATGAGATGTATACGTTTAAATAAGCAAGTAATAAATTGTAATAGTGAAGGGGTGAGATGAGGATATAGCAAACATCAAGGCACCAGAACAGGCGAGATACCACAACTGTTTAGCAAACAATTGGTAGAAGAATCAACTTTATTTGTTTCTTAGACGAATTGAAGTGGGGTGCTAAGACTGGCAGGACTCATTGACGATGCGGATTACGATGTCAGTGAAAAGTCTGGGAATACACTAAGTCCACGATCCGACGCTGAAAATTATCATATATACATTGGCTTACGGACGAAGTGCGTTTATTTAGGTAGCCCCACAATACGATCAAAAAGTCAGACAGATTCTAAAGTCTACATTGGTACCAACCAGTGGAGTGATTTGTCTAAAATATTAAGAAGTATATGAATGATTCATAGTAAATTGAAGATCCGAATCTCTGGATGTCCATATATTTAGCATAAG